ATCTTTTGCCCATTTTATAATGGAGTTGTTTGTTTTCTTCTTTTCAGTACGTTTCAGTTATATGGAACTCTTTAATGCTGAGTTACTTTCAATATAAAATAGAAACTTCAGCAGGATATATATAGGTCTTTAAAAATATAAGAATTTTTTTACAAAGAACACATTCTAAAATACCAAATTATCAATAGGCGACATTTAAACTAAAGAAGAAATGTTTTCAATGGAGTAATTTTGTAGTATTTCTGAAGAAATAACTAAAGATAAGATATCCAGCCGGGCTCGGTGGCTCAGCCTGTAATCCCGCGCCTTTGGGAGGCTGAGGTGAGTGGATTGCCTGAGCCCGCGGGTTCGAGACCCGCCTGGGCAACTTGGCAAGACCTCATCTCTACAATAAATCAAAAAAATCAGCCGGGCGTGGTAGCGCATGCTTGTAATTCCGGCTACTCGGAAGGCTGAGGCGGCAGGATCACAGGAGCCCAACGGGTTGAGGCTGCGGTGGCCGGGAGCGGCCACTGCACTCCAGTCTGGGGGACAGAGTGAGACGCCAACTCAAAAAAAAATAAATAAATAAAAAGATATCCAGGTAAGTGATCTGTATATACATACATTAGCTACATGGGGAAAATAGGCTCTTTAAGTTGCATGACCATTTTACATAAGAGTATTCAGAACCTGAAGTTTCAGTAAGGACCACAAAGTTTTCTGTGTTTACTTTACATGGCTCATTAGTATTAATATTACAGATCCCAAGTCAGCAGGGCACTGTGCCTCACACCTGTATTCCCAGAACTTTGAGAAGGGGAGGTGACACACACATGATTTGTTTTAATCTTTCAGTTGGACTTTACTGTTTTAATGGCAGAAGGAGCTACATAACCAATACCTTTTGCAAACATTCCTCTTAACTAGAAGAGACCAAGTCAAACCTTGAAGAAAGTAGAGAAAGGAAAGTCTCCAAACCAAGAATATTATTCTGTCTTCACTGAGAAAAAAAATCTCCCACATCCCCTCCCTAGATCTGGTTGTTCCATTAATCAGACTCTGCGCTATCAAAATCTCATTGTGATAAGACTCATGTCAATTTTCTCTGTGGCTCTGTTTTAATTACCCAAGGTTTTTGAAATCAGTGATCATTAATTACATGAAAGAAAGAATTTCTTAAAAATTCTCACCACATCTCTCTCTTTAAAGCAACTTTAGGCCGGGTGCCGTGGTTCATACCTATAATTCCAGCACTTTGGGAGGTGGAGGTGAGAGGATTGCCTTGAGCCCACGGGATCAAGACTCTGTAACTTGGCGAGACCTCATCTCCACAATAAATCAAAAAATTAGCCAGGTGTCGTGGCATGTGCCTATAAGTTCCAGCTACTTGGAAGGCTGAGGTGGAAGGATCACATGAGCCCAGCAGGTCGAGTCTGTGGTGGCCGTTGAGTGTGCCACTGCTCTCCAGCCTGAGAGACAGAGTGAGACTCCAGCTCAAAAACAAAAAACAAAAAAACTTTTAACAAAATGAGAATCAAGTATGATGTAATTTTATACCCTACTTTTAAAAATGTAATCTTTTATTACAGACATATTCGCATGTCACCAAATTTTTAAAAAATACATATATATTTTTGTGGAGATAGTCTGGACTTGAACTCCTGATTTCAAGTGATCCTTCCACCTTAGTCACTCAAATAGCTGGGACTACAGGTGTATGCCACTGTACCCAGTTTGAAAATATGATTTTTATTTATTTATTTATTTATTTATTTTTCTTTTTTTTTTGAGTTGGAGTCTCACTCTGTCGCCCAGACTGGAGTGAAGTGGCTGCTCCCGGCCATCGCAGCCTCAATCTGCTGGGCTCCAGAGATCCTTCCGCCTCAGCCTTCCAAGTAGCCAGAGTTATAGGCATGAGCTACCACGCCTGGCTGATTTTTTGATTTATTGTAGAGATGAGGTCTCACCTGCCCAGGCGGGTCTCAAACCCGTGGGCTCAGGCAATCCACTCACTTCAGCCTCCCAAAGGTGCAGGATTACAGGCTGAGCCACCGAGCCCGGCTGAAAATATGATTTTTAAATGACTAAATAATAATATTCTACTCATACAGATGAACTCACAAGTTAACCACCTCCTTATGCATGAAATTTGTATTATTTCCCCTTTTTTCCTCTAATTATAATTTATGAGAAGATGAGCATCCTAGTACACAAACCTTCTTCTGTATTTCTAATCCTTTCTTTGGAATAAATCATAAAAGCAAAACTACTAAATCAAAGTGTACAAACTTTTCTAATTACTGATTATTAATATGCATTGGGTTAGTTACTTCACAAAAAAAGCCAAATAAGTTAATTTGCCAAATAAGTTAATTTTTTTTTTTTTGAGTTGTAGTCTCACTCTTTCACCCAAGCTGGAGTGCAGTTGCATGCTCTTGGCTAGCCCAGTGTCAACCTGCTGGACTCCAGCGATCCTTCTACCTCAGCTTTACAAGTAGCTGGAACTACAGGCGCACACTACCATGCCTGGCTAATGTTTTGATTTATTGTAGAGATGAGGTCTCACCATGTTGCCCAGGCTGGTCTCAAACTCGCTGGTCTCCAACCCTTGGCCGCCTAAAGTGCTGGGATCACAGGCTTGAGCCACCGTGCCCAGCTGTTATTGTATTTTATTAATAATTTTTTTTTCCAAATGAGACAGTCTTGACCAGACAGCCCAGGCTGGTCTTGACCAATTTGTATTATAATGTGCACTTTTGTTTTTACTATTAAGGAAATACACAGATTTATCTACCTGCTTATTTATTGGCCATCTGTATTTCCCTTGTAATTTCTGTTTAGGTGCTTTTTGGATTAGAATGCTTGTGAGTATTCTTTGAATCATAAAAACATTAGCCCTTTGCCTGTAATAGAGGCTAGGGTGGGCCATTTTTGTTATGATTTTCTAAATTCAAAGCCTCCCCTGATGATGAATAAATTGCACCCCCTTCTGAAGAACATCAGGTAGTAACACAGGTCTTTCTCATCTTGCAAAATTCCTAGTTCAACTTTCCTGCGCTTACAACTCTGTAAGAAAAACACCTGCTTCAGCACACAACATTGTGCTTCTCTTCTAAACCCTGATCAGGCCAGGCCAGAATGCACATGCTTTCATGAGTATCAGTTCCATCTGTAACAATGTGTAATTATTCACTGGTTTCTCTATTTCTAATTTTTTTTTTAACCTTTATCCATTATGAGCTTTACAAACCATCACTTCTTTATTTTTTTTCAAGTTGGAGTCTTACGCTATCGTCCAGGCTGGAGTGCAGTGGCACGCTCACAGCCACCCCAGTGTTGACCTACTAGGCTCAGGCGATCCTTCCGCCTCAGCCTTATAAGTAGCAGGCGCTACCACACCTGGTTAATATTTTGATTTACTGTAGAGATGACGTCTCACCAAGTTGCCCAGGCTAGTCTTGAACCCCTGGGCTCAGGCAATCCTCTAGCCTCGGCCTCCCAAAGTGCTGGAATTACAGGGTTGAACGACAAGGCCCAGCCGGTTTCTAACTTTTTTCTTTTTTTTTTTTGAGTTGGAGTTTCACTCTGTCGCCCAGACTGGAGTGCAGTGGCCGCTAACTTTTTAAGGTTTGTTTGGTCTACTGGTTACTTTCGTTTCTCACAGACATTGCACAACCAACCTGATAGGAGAAGCACTCAGTTTATTTCCAAACAGGTTCCAGCGAGTCACTGAATCTCTGACTCAGAAGCTCTTTTTACTCTACACTAGGTGTCAAAGTAAGTAACTCATTTCTAAAGAATCAGCTATGGTTGCTAAGACTTGAACATTAGAAAACACGCAAATGAACAAGTGTGGAAATCTGGTGGGATCTAACCCTTTCAGACTGTCTAAAATGAAGCACAAATAAAAGATGCAAAAAACTCGCCAAAAACACATGAAGAGACATTTCCGGGATGATGGAGTCATAAGCACACACCACCCTCTTTCCCCCACAGAATACAACTACAAACCCCAACGGAGAGCAGGCAGGACAACGAGCAGAGAGGTGTGTGGACTGTGGAGTCACAAGGACTCAGAGCCAGCAGTAAGCCACCCACTTTCCTTGTGGGACCATTCATGCCTACCTGCACTCCATACAGTGAGGG